ATCTAACAAACTAGACAAGACTTGTAAGGGATTTTTTTCAAAATGTTTTTAAACTCACCGTTGAACAAAATTAAAAAAAAAAGACCGTTTCGATTCTAGATTCGCTCTCAAAAGTCAGACGAACTTTATCAAGATGATAATGTAACTGTTTTATTAAAAATTTTACCAGAAGGTTCATGCAACCACACGATCTATTTTGCTTTCATCAATGGAAAGATTTCATCAAATGTATTATGGAACACGCAGATTCTTATTGAAAATTAAACGCTTTTGCATAGGCGCGAAAAAGTATTAAAAATCTATACCTTGATTCTAAATCAATCTCCAGTATATCGACCGATGTTTAGATATGCATGATTCAAGGGCGGATTTGATGTTCCATACATGGAGTTTAAAGGGTTAAAAGATATAAACTTTTCTAATCAGTTAAAGGACTCAAAGCACAAGCAAGATACGAGTATTCTTCGCTATCGTTATTAAATACTAAATATAATATTATAAATATAATATTTAACTAAAAATACAAAATACAGATGTTTCGATCTTCTATCCGGTCATTTTCAATGTTACATATACAATCTACATTAAAACAATTACAATGAAATATTAAAAATTCTAGAAAAGTTTAGCCCTTATAATATTAAAAACCTCAATCCTGAAGCAACAACGTGTGCAATCCGAAAACCTTGATATGACCGCAAGAAGTTATATAGTAGGATCTTTTCTTAAACATGTTCATGGTGTCATTTCAGGTATGAATCTCCTATCATTACAGCATATAAATTAACAATTAACATAATTTGCCATTATATAAGGCTATTAAGTCTCTTGTCAAAAGCTTACATATATAGTACAAATTGTCCATGATAACGTGACTATTGCTGTAAAGTAATAATAATTTAAACTAGTGAGAATTTAAGCAAATTAAAATGCTGCAAGATTTAGATTAATATCTGTGTTTCTACCAACGAACATGATAATAATTATAGCGCAAAACAGTATATACAGTAAGCAGTATTAAGACTAGAACACAAAAGGTGTAAATTATGTCATGTTCTTCCGTGCTTCTTGACTTTTTTTAAATTAATAAAGATACAAGTAAAGAAAAAATCGACATAATATAAAAAATATGAGTGGTGAGGAAATTCGAAGAAGAGGAAAAGATGACGGGAAACATTCAACAAGGGGGAAGTGCTTCTATAACGGAAGAGTATATTTCTGATAACGATTCTGTGTTACTTTGTAAATTAAGTCCATTGTTTTATCTCTTTATAAAAATCATCTCAGAAGTCAGTCTTTCGTTATAAGATGATTCGCTATCTAAAATTCTGATATTGTTCCGATCAAAATTATAATTAAGTGAGGTCCATTAGATATGACACTTGGTGAGCTTGATTTTTTATTAATATCCGATGAGTGCTCTGCGATTCTTGTTTTTAATTGCCTTTTTGTCTGGCAATATATGATGCGTCACAATTATGGCCTTATAAGACCTTATAGACAACATCATGATGTACTGATCAATTGATGATAGTCAGCCTCAAAATAAATTTCATTTAGTTTGTAAACTAATTGGAAGCTATTTTCCACTTGGTTATTGTAATCTATTTAAAATATCTCAATATAGAAGTTTTTAAATTACAACTCACACGTGACGTACATGTCTACCCCAAAAAAGGACCTCATTTGTGCTCAATTGCACCGTGTAAAATTTATTCTTTTAATAATAACCTTATGTTGCGCTGTAAATAATTGTTCATTCAACTAAATTCTTCCAAATGTTTTTATTTCTCTTAATAA